TATATATATATGCATAAACTGTTTTTGTTCAATGAATGTTACTCACTGTAAATTAGCAAATAAATTAATACAAAATTTGAATTTTCGTAAAAAATTAGATAACAATGTGTAAGAGTATACATCGAGAATATAATAATTGTTCTAATGAAGATGATTTAATTAAGATCACTTATGTTCGTGGACGGTATATACTCAAAGTATCAGTATCATAACATTGTGTAGGAAGCAAAAATTTTAAGAAATATGAAATGTGTCAACTACAATTTTCAATAAATTTAAATGATTCTAAAATTATACCTAAAATGCGTAAAAATTGAATCTTGTCAGATATTTTATAAAGTTGGTTTGTAAAGTACCATCTTTCCCTCGAACAAGTGAAAATGGGGCTCTTAAAAACAATCTTTCGTATTTTAAATTACATACACACTTTCATAATACTTTCAAATACCAAAATATTTCAAATGGTTGCATATATTTAGGAACAGGAAATTAAAAGAGGCGTTAACATAGTGGTGGAATTCAAGGGTAAATTGTGTGAGTTAAGATAAATAATTACATTTTTTGATAGCATTAACCGTCAGCTTTCTGCATTTGTAGAATAATAAGATTGTCGTCCAACTTTAAGTGAAAGATTAGATGCATAATACAATAGCTTAGAACAATCCAAGAATGACATTTAAAAAATTGCTTTTATTTTATATTTTGATATTTTGGGTCTGGTACTTTTATAATAACATTTTTATTCACTACCAAATTTTATATGGTTACTACTTTTGCGTAATTACAGAGCAATAATATGTTTGACATATACAAAGTAAACGTATATGCAATATGTAAAAAAAGAGGTTTTAACATTTAATTTCAACTGTCATTTTGTAATTTAAATGTTATGGTGCGATGGAAAAACCAGCTTTAGCTTCCACTTGCGTTTGCAGAATTTAAAAGATATTTGTTGTTTCGTTACAATAAATAATCAATAAATGGCATTTTAAGGGCTATAACTTCTGCTATCTCAATACTATGAGTGTTTAAGGAACTTTTAAGGACTATAATTTTTAGGGGGGAAAAGATAGATAACAACTTTTACGAAAATAAGATACTAGTAAAGATCTATTTATATATAAAATTTGAATTGTGTATCTTAAAATGTGTAGAAGTTCGTCCATGGACGGGCGAAAAGGAAAAATTCCGAAAAAAAGATTAAGATATTAATTATGAACGGAGTTAACAATATTTACATAATGAATCACAACTAATATCTATGTATGTAATAATGTTTTTCATAATTATGTGGAAGTTATTTTATAAGTTAATGAAGTTTACTTTGCAAAATTTTTGATTTATTTTTAATGTTTATTAAATTTCCTGATTTTTAAGCTAAATTACTCCCAATTTATAAAGTAATTAGTTTTAACATTTGTGTGAGCTACATATTTCATTCTTGAAATCACATTAGAACGACTTACAAGGGTCTAAATCACAGCGATTATGTAAATTTATTTGCAATTCCTCACAATAAAACAAAGAAGTTTAATATTAATCGCTCAGAATTCAATCTAGCATTGATTCGGTGCAAAGTCGATTGGAATTAGTCATCAGTGTAGGTTGAAATTCTAGCAATCGAACTTAAAATTTTTCTATAATAACTTTGCAATTTTTTCTAAATTAGTGACAGAAATTTTAAACTTTTCCATATAAGTAACATGATTTTTAACATATCGATATATATATATATACACAGAATACAACATATTTAAATATGCATATGCATTTATGCACGTACTCTACGCATTGTGCTTTTTGTAATAGATATACATACATATGTATATTATTCAAAAATTGTCAACCTTGAACTTTGGTGAATTCTGGCCACAAATATTCAATGTTACCTCATTCAGTTATTTGTTTTTTTGAAAAAATTAAACTCTAAATTTAAAATTTTATTTTTAAATATAAGGTACATATTATATGTACATATTGTATGTACATATTTTGGATGCTGTTCATGAAAACTTTTATTTTAATAGTAAAATAAACCGGCAAACAAAAATACAATATTCGTTGCGAACGTTTTGTATTAAATTATTCCTTCGAAGCAATATTGCAGACAACCACTTTTTTCTAAAAAATAAAACTTCTATTACCGAAATCTAACCAAAAAAATCAGATAAAAGTGAAAATGTATTCAATTCTCTTTTTTTTGTATAATTCTTTCTAATTTCTTTGTACTCTTATATTTACGTACATATACCCCGATTATAAAATTGTTTCTCTATTAAATGGTACGGATCCACGAGTTTATCTATACTATTTCATTTATATAAATTGGAAGTGTTATTAAATTCATATTAAAACAGAAAAAACAGTAAATGTCTTGTCAGAAGATATTTTAGATGATCTATTTAACCGCAAAAATCCATTAATTTGTGGTGTTTACGCAAATTGTATACTATATCTATATGTATGCATTATATGCAAAATAAAGCAACTACTGTTTCACTTGAAATTTACATAAGGAAAATAAATAATCATGTATACATATGATAAGACTATCGTCTAACGATCGTTTAAAACGAATATTATCAAAATGATTAATTCAAATTAAACATATGTATAAACTCATATTTATATACGAACCTAAAATTGCACGTCATATTTTATGGTGTTATAAAATTTTAATTAGAGTAGATATAAGTTTTCTTTGACATTGTTACTAATAATTATTTTTAATATTATAATAATATTGTTAATAATAAGCATAAAATGAAAGAACATAGGAAATTATAGGATTCACGAAATGTAACTACAATTCCTTTTTTAGCAATAGAAGTAATATTTACAAACAATAGCGATCAATACAAATTTTATGTACAATTTACATTTATGCAGATTCAATTAAAAATCGTAAAAATAGTTTAAATAAAGTTGGGTCAAACCAATGGTTTGTATTGCAGCACTTTTCCCTTCAACAAGTGAAAATTCTGCTTTTAAAAACAGTCTATGTATATCCAACACACTATTAAAATTGTTTTCATTCATATACAAAACTATTTCTAGGATTGCATATATTTAGGATGATGCATACATGCAGTCTTTGAAATAAAGCAAAAATTAATATAAAGTGGGGTTAACATAATGCTCTATTTTAAGGGTTAATTGTGTGAGTTAAGAAAAATAATTATATTTTTTAATGTCATGGAATTTACCTTTAGCTTCTTGTGTTTATAGAAATTTGAAAATGCTTGCGGTTTCGGAAATATAAGGTGTCAAAAACTCAAATTTTACAAATTTCAAGAGGCCATAACTTGAGAGGGGGTGGAGATGGAAAAAAATTTTATTCTAACGAAATGAACTACTTGTTAATGTCTAAAAGCCCCTAAAATTTCAAGCTTCTACAGGCTGGGGTCTAGAAGAAAAGCGACATCAAAAATTTGGAAAAAAAGGACTTTAGATAACGGTAAATTTGAACGGCCATTTTGTTTTTCTAAAATTTAACTATAGTATACCGCAGTAGGGGAAGCAAGCCACTGCCTTTCTGCGTTTGAAAAATTTCAAAAATGCTTATGGTTTCATTGCAACAAATAGTTAAAATAGGCCATTTTTAGTGCTTTGGGGGGGTATAACTTCTAGAGGGGGGGAGATAGGTAAAAAGTTTGTTCTACAAAAATAAGTTTCTAGTAAAGATCTATGTACGTATTAAATTTCAGCTTTCTATCTTTAAGAATGTAGAAGTTTTGTAAACAGACACACGGACAGACGGACGGACGGACGGACGGACGGACGGACGGACGGACGGACGGACGGACGGACGGACGGACGGACGGACGGACGGACGGACGGACGGACGGACGGACAGAGTGAAACTAATAAGCACTTTTTTTCAAAATTTTTTTGGAAAAGTGCTAAAAAGTGGAAAAAGGATATGTGTATCTATGGCGTCGATGTAATGGTTATTCAACAAAAAAAAAACATAAAATCCCAATTACAGCAATTATGTTTAATGTTTTAAAAAAATTTAATTGTATAAAAGCACGAAATATAAAAATACAAACAATAATGCACGTAGCATATTGACTTTAGTCATGATTTGATTTCTATATTATTCAGAGACCCAACACTTAAAAAAAAATCGAAGGTGGCCAGCATATTTTTAAGCGTATTATAAATTCATAAAATACGATATGCATGTACCTTCGAACGCAAAATAAGTACAACACATAATAAAACCTTGCACAAGAGTTGAAGAAACTATGGTGAAAACGCTTTACGTAAACAAATTTTAAACTTATGTAGGAAACTAATAGGAAATCGGTTTGTGTAGTTTGGTTTCCAAGAAAAATTGATTTCCAGCATTTATTATACCCTGCACTTCGTGAAGGGTATATTAACTTTGGTATGGAGTTTGTAACTATTTGAAGGAGTCATCTGCGGTATGGACATATATATATATTCTTGCTCAGACGACACCAAACTTTCACAAGTTTTTTCTTTTGTGCCAAGGACGAACCCTATTGTTATTGGACTAAGTCGGACAACAGGTTCGGGTAGCTGCCATACCAAGAGTTTATTTTAAATATTTCAAAAACTAATAAAGCTATAAATATAAAATTTTGTATACGTGTGTCCAATTATATTCTACACATGCTTTAAAAATTATAATGGGATAGCTGCACCGGTTCGGGTGGCTGCCATACAACTTCAACAGATTCATGAAACTTGGCAGTCGGATGTCCAATTATAGGTCAGACATGTCCGTGAAGTTTCTATAGAATGATTTCACAGGTTCACATATACTAATTTATAGAAATGTATTTATAGAAATGTAAATTCACATATACTAATTTATAGTACAGATTAAAAATTAACAATAAAGTCAGATTTGTTAAATGTTACGTGTTCTAAAATTTGTTTACAAGATTGTGTTTTAAAAAAACTTTTTGCAAAAAGAAATTTAAAATTTCTATTCAATTTCAATTAACTGATTTTTTTTCTCTTTCTAGCTAATGCATTAAAATGTTGGCGGTGTTCATCAGATGCAACAAATGGTGCATTTTGTTCTGATCCCTTTGACCCGGAAATAATTACCGACCAACAAAAATATTGGAGCTATGTAAATTGTACATATCCATACAACTTTAATCAGCAATCAGCAAATGTCATCAGACCAGTCTGCAAAAAATTAGTACAAGAAAGTGAGTAAATAAAGTGGGTCAAACCAGTGGTTTATAATGTAGCACATTTCCTTTCAACTAGTGAAAATACTGCTTTTAAAAACAATTTATGTACATGTACCTGCTACACTATTAAAATTTCTTTCATTCATACACGAAATTATTTTAAGGATTGCATACATTTAGGGTAAACTATTTGTGCAGTCTTTGAAATAAAGCAAAATTAAGTTTAAAGAGATGTTAACATAATGCCCGATTTTAAGGATTAATTAATAATTAACCCTCAAAATCAACCATAAATAATTATATTTTTTAATCGCATTGAATTTTCCGTTGACTTTCTGCAAATAGAAATTTAAAAAACTTGCGGTTTCGAAAATATAAGATACGAGGGCGATAACTTGAAAATAAATTTCGAGAGGCAATAACTTGAGAGAGGGTGGAGGCGAGAAAAAATTTTTTTCCAACGAAATGAACTATTTATTATGTTAAAATTTCAAACCTTTACCTGTGGTTTATAAGAAAAACGACTTCAAAAATTTAAAAAAAAAACGAATTTGAATAACGGTAAATTTTAACGGCCATTTTGTTTTTTAGAGTTCGAATATAGTATGCCGTGGTAGAAGAAGCCAAAATTTTTATTGTGTTTTGTATTTTTAAATATGTAAATCGTTTGTATTTAACAAAATGTTAGTATTGCTTTTGTTATTCTTTTGAAAGTAATCACTAAATCCGTAAATTTGCATTGTTATTAGAAACTTTATTTCCTTGTTCAATCATCAATACTCTCACAATTCATAAAATGAAGTATGAAATAAGTACATATACTATTATGTAAATATATGTATATAATTGTGATAAACATTTACTATTTTTATATTTATTGCGTTTGGTTTCAATTTTAAACTAACATCAAGTTATTAAGACAAAAAGACGTCCATCCAGACATCTTTATTTTCATTATAGGAGTCTATGTAAACGAATTTTAACATATAAATTTTAAAAAACTAAACGAAAACGTCTAGTCTAGATATTTACATAGAAAATATTTTGTGTATATTATGTCAGTATGAAATTTTTTATATTAATTAATAACATATTGGTGTTTTGAACATTGTGAAGTGAGTTTGATGTTTTTATACTTTATGTTCTTGAAAGCTCTAAGCATAGAAATATATTCGCAAAGTCTGTTATTTTAGTGCTGCTTGATGCTGTTTGTATGCTATCATAAAAATATTATTATACAATTACTTAATTTTTTTTTATTGATATTTCAAATGTGCAACATAAATTCTAAATTCAATGCTCTGTAATATACATATATATGTGTACATATGCACATTGTAGGCGTTTGTATATAAAACATCCGCTACAAATATTATTATATTTACACTTTAAGAGGGCTCAGATAATATGCATTTTTCATATTTAGTAAAAACTATTTACAATTTTAATTTTCACTGATATGAATTGTACTGTTTAATATTTTACAATTCTGTAACAAATCTATAGAATAATATTTCTTCTATATTTTCTACGATAATTATGGATAGCTTTTACATAAAACCTGCAAATCTTCCATTAGTTTTTTTTTATTGGTTGGTTCAATTAAAAAAAGTTTAATTGACGCGATTTGTAAAGACTTATGTGCTTTTGCCTTAATTATTGTGTACAAATAAAAAGGGTCGGTTACGCAAATTTGTTGTAGTTATGAAAGTTATCATAGTGAAAGTAGTATATTTTAAGGTCAATCAGATTTTTATAACATCCAGGATGAAAACCCGCAAATCAATCCGCAAGTATTGTGTGAATATTTGATGTAGTTAGGCCACTAATATAATAGTTTATATAACTCATATTTTATAATTAATTGCATATCTGCGGTATAGTACCTGCGTCAAGACGAGCCAAGAAATTTATTTTTCTGCCCTAAGACCTCTGTCGTTTTCTAAACCCCCTGTTACTTTGGTTTTGAATTATATCAGGGCCGCACAGCAAAAAAACTTAAACTACCAAAATATACTTAAATTTTGATTTTTGTTATCAACATAAAAAAATATAAAACATAAAAATAATACACCGTGATTTCACTAATGCGCCTACGACGTAAATTTTTACAAATTCCAAAAAGTTTAGTAAAAGGTCTTGACATTGTACACTTTTCCTAAATGCGTTTTATTCGTAGTGGAGACGTAAAATAAAAGTAAATCGGGTTCGAAGAAGTCGAGCACACTTTTCTTTTACCTTGTCATATTAATGTTGCCATAAATAACCAATTAAATAAATTAGTATTTATTTTCAGCAATAAAGTGCAAAGTTATTAAGTTTTTTTCCTAAAATATAGCATAAAAATGCAATGTTTTTAATGACTTAATAACGTTTATTAAAAATTAACATTTGCACAGAACTTTAAATTGAGCTTTTCAAACAAACGTCAAAGTATGTATGTAATAATATTGTAAAAATTGTGTTCCAAAATTTACGAAAAGCTTTAGTAGTTTTTTTTACAATGAAAAGGTATTGAAAGCACTGAGACGGTACTACAATCGTATTAATACCGTACTTAAATCTTTTTTACCATTATTAAATTAATTTTTCAAAGAAGTTTAGCGACGTTTTTCTATTACTAAATCTTCGAATTCGTTTACACAAATATGTGCTTTCGAAATCCTAATTGATTTATAGGCAAATAATTATAAAATTTTGTATTCTCTAAATTTTTGTTTTTATACGCAATCGCATAGCATTTCAATTTCAATTCTAAATATGAATCAAGTGTTTCAAAATCAACAGAAAATTGAAAAGTATATAGGTTAAATTGATGTCAACTATTAAAATCTAAAAATCTTCCTTCAAATTCGATTTTTAATAATTTATTCTGATTAGAATATTCGAAAAATTTTGAATTTATCTAACTGGTCTACTGTTTACAAATATAGGAAAAATTATTGGTATATAAGTTGATGGTATACAAGTCGAAACTTTGTATTTTTCGCATATGCATAAATTTGGTTTTTGAATGTGTTTTGAATGTGTCCCCGCAAAGCCTTCACTATGGTTCCAACACTTTCTTACTGATCTAAATCAATATTTGCAACAAAATGATAAGAATTAAATTTCAATTCAAAAATTATTTTAATGGTGTATATTGAATTGTTTACAAGTTGATATTTGATAGTAGATCAAAGTTTTAGAATTAGCTAAAAACATTTTATTTTGAAGCGGTTATTGTAAAACGCAAGTTTACTGCGATTTTAGTTATAGATTTATTTGAGTAAGAGTTTTTATTTAAATAAATATAATTATTTTTATTATATTTGACAAGGGCTTATGAAACATTTAATTATAATAAGCTTTACGTTAGTTAGAAATGAAGTTTGCAAGGTACACTGCATGTGGATTGAGATCATTGCATTCCAGGTATAGAGCTTGCTTGAGTATTTGTATTGACAGCCTGTTTTAATTCCACTACATTTTTCCGGATTTCTGCTAAAGCAAGTTGCAATTGAACCAAATTCTCAACGTTCAAGTCATTTGTTAAAATATCTTGCACTGCTAATGATTGCCCAGAATTAATCAGTGTACCACCTGTTTTAAAAAGAATTGTATAAGATATTGTATAAATTGATTTATTTAACAAAGATATTAAATTGTACTTGCCAGTAGGTGAAGAATTTTGACCTTCGTCATCATCATGTTCATAATCTGATGAAGTATAATCTTTAACTGAAGGTGATTGCTCTAGTTGTGACTGTAATTGATTTTTCTGCATAATAACTGAAATATCTTTTGCATTTATGTGGGGGTTCTGTTGCAAAAGTTTGTTTATCGACATTATTTGAGGCGAATGCACTGGTTGATTTGCCTGCGAATATTTTTGGGAGCTTTGTGACAGTTGAAGCGATTTGTGGGGATGATTGAAAGATATTAAAGGATTTTCTTTGTAAGAAAACTCATGTTGTGGTCTTATACTGCCACCTAACTGCTTCTGATTTATTTCTTGTTCTGAATAAAACTGGTGGGTTAATTGTTGGTGTTGTGGACGATTATTCTGTGGTTGATAAATAGCATGGGCACTATATGAGCCTTGGTCTTTCCTGCCAGTAAAAGATGGGTACCGTGTATTAGATGTTACCGGGTTTGTGATTGTTGGTATTGAATTAAATCCTTGATTAGTATGAATACTAGGATTTGATGTAATGCTGTTACCCGGTAATCTATTATGCGAGCCACCAGTTGGAGTGAAAGTGCTTGTAAGACCTGTGCCAATTATGAAACCACCGTTTCCGCCTGTTCCAGGATAGTACCACCCAACTCCAGGAACAAAAATCAAAGCTGAACCAGGAATATATATATAGCCGTCATCAGTTGTATATGGACAATGATGACAATACCCTGGCGGTCCAGGTGGTCCCATCGGACCTGGAGATCCCGGAATTCCAGGTGCGCCTGGATCTCCAGGATAGCCTGGTGCTCCTATAGGCCCAGAATGGCCACCTGGTGGACCTCTGGGCCCTGGATGACCTGGTGGACCAGGTAAACCTGGTTCACCTTTTTCTCCATAGCCCGGATGGCCCTTCGGACCTTGTGGTCCTGGATCGCCTACTTCTCCTTTTGGTCCAATAGGGCCAGGATGACCTGGTATACCTGGAGCACCTTGTTCACATGGGCATTTTACTAAGCCACTGCTCAGTTTATTTAATAGTGCTAATGAAAAATATAAGAGTTTAAAATTCTATTGAATACTTTTAACAGAAATCTTACCACATAAAATTATAAAGTATCCAAATATATTCATTTTATTTTTTTTTTGTTAGAAAATGCGTTTTCATTGAGCAATTTGAATCGACTAACACATTTTGCATTCTAATGCAGCTTTTTATAGAAAATTTTTAATCCAAAATCTTAAAACAGTTATCGAGTAGGAACAGTTAAATTTTCTGTAACATTAAATTCTAAATAATAAAATTTAGGGTCGTTATAAAATCGAACAATACTACATCATATTTTCTTTTGCTGAGATAAAACTGTTTCCAAATCAATTGTTGTTCAATTTTAAATTATAAGTCGCAAAGATAAGAGCTTCAACATCATAAATGATGTCAATACAATATATCGAAATAAAAATTATTACGTTTTATTTAAGTTTACAATTGACTGCAAAATTCGTAGTATTAACAACGCTTTCCGTTTATTTTCTGTTAAGTTACTAGAGGCTCACGAAAATTAAAAACAAAAATGAAGTACATACATACATAATTTATTTTAAACAACAATACTTTTTGTCGCTAAATTTAATATTTAAATATTTAAACAGCCACTATATTAACAAATCTGAACGATATTGTATTAAAAATGTACGGTATATCCAATAATGGTAATGTTGTTAATGAAAATGCAAAATCGCATATAACATGAGCAATAACTTTAATCAGTTTCCTTTGCATCGGAAATATAGCTGTGACTTGGAAAATACGTTATGTATTTGAAATTATGAAATTCGAAATTTTAACCTTTCGCTAAAATCTATTGCATAAATAAGCCGATCGCTTATTTATACAATATTGGTTCATTATCCGATCTTAAATTCGAGTTCTATTGTTCTTATAATTATTTTTATGTTTATCATTTAGGCTCGCGTTTATATGACATAATATCATAAGTATTACAATAGTATCACTAATTTTATCAAAACGACAACTAAATGTCAATAAAAGCAACGTAACCCGAAGTTAATGAATGAATTTTTCTGATTCGTAACAATAATAAAAAGTAACGTATTTTTACACCTATCACGCTTAAGAATTTTATTTTATATAGAAAAGCGATTTGATTAAATAATGGTTATAAATTATAATATTTTATTCATTTCAAAAAAATGTTCATCTTACCTTGTAGTGTTTGTTGCTTATTTAAATTGTATAGTACAAAATAGAATCTTCAATTTTTTAGTGAAAAAGTATTAAACATTAGTTATTATGTCGCAACTGCATCTGCTGCGTCCAGCTACCCAATTTTTTTTGAGTTGTAAATCGCTATATTATGAGACCGAAATAAAATCAGTGACAATTTAGTATTTTGTATATTTTTTTTTTGGTTTTGTGTTATCAAAAGATTAATGCTTCAGTAGTTCTTACTAAAAATTTCTAATAAAATAAATATTATAGCTATTGATTGATAGATATATACCCAAGTAGCTGGGGTCCAATTTTTTTGCATAAATCGCACTAAAAATTACTTAAATTTATTTACATACATCTTTATTCTTTACTCAAATCTAAACTTAAATTTTGAATATAATTCATATTTATTAATTCAAAATATGGTAAATTTTGGGTTTTGTTACGTATTTTGAATATTTTAACTAAAGTAAAAATATTCATTCAGAGGTTGTTTGCGCAATAGTAAATTTGCGTAAAAATAAATCTTTGTATAAATACATATACATATGTCCACACGTATATATGTATTTACATTTATATTTTTTAACATATTGACTTATTTATTAAGTTCATTAAAATTCTCAAAAAAGAGCTAAGTTACATGATTAAAGCTATTCAAATAGAAATTCTACAGTTCACAGGGGTAAAGTATTATTTCATATACGATCGGTTTGACGGAGTACTTTGTTTTATTTTGTTGGTCACGACGATGTTATATGACGTTTTTTTAATTATTTTTTTTTTTTTGAAGGTATTGGGATTTCAGTTCCACCAGAAATTTTTTTAATATTAAAAAATAATAATAATATTTATGAAATTAATTTAAAACTAAGTACATACTGCATTTTTATTATTTCATTGTTTTACTAATTATCTATCACATTTTATTTTGATTTTAGTTTATGGAAAAGTTGTTGTATCACGTTCTTGTTTTTATGAGGATATAAGTGAAGCGCCAGAGAAGTGTTATCTCGATAATTTTCCATCTTATGTAAGAACGATCTATTGCCAAACATGCCCAACAGATGGTTGTAATACCGCTCCAAGTGTTGAATCGTCTCCAATTTTTGCATTAATGTTAATTCCTATAGCAATTGCGAAAATTTTACTATTCTAAAATTATGATTTGCAATAAAATAAAATTTACAGCTTAAAGTGAGTAAAGAAAATAATTAAAAATAGTGTATTCACACAGCAAACTACACAGATGATTATATAATTTAGTATGAGTATTTGCAAAAGTTATAGTTCAGTCCACAAAATATTAACATACAAATTTTGGTAAATTTCCCATTTGAAAATAAAAAAGTGAAGATTTATAATTAAGAAGAATTTGTTGTAAATTAACTTTCTTTATAATATTTAATATTTTATGTATAATTTTTGCTAAATTATGTATGTATAATATTATTATGTATTAGTTCAAAAGTTTAAATAAAACGCAGTAGAGTTAATATACAGAAATAATGTAATAGTGTGAAAAAAGTGGCAAAGGAGGTTCTTAAATCCAAAATCAACAAATAATGAACGTCAGTGATGTGAGCACCGCAATTTACGATTACCGGTGTTTTATTTAATCGTATTTCAGTGTCTAAACACAAATAAATAAACATAATATTGAGTTTATTTATTTATAATACAAAAGTTTTTTGTTTATATAGTATTTCCTATGACATAAATCTGTAAACGTTGTAATATAATAAAGACCAAAAATCAGTTGCTAATATTAAAAATATTCGAACTGTACATATAAAAGCCTAAAATTAATTTTCATTTCTGATTGCATTAATTTTAGCTCAAGTTCCATTTTTGTTTTAATTACTTATTCCATTTATCTAAAGTTTATTTATATTGCATGATCCTTGTTTGTACTTACATATCAGATATTTTAGCATTTAACCTACACATACACCGTATTTTTGTGAAATTTCTTTCATTTGAACATTGGAGGCTCTTGGATGCAGACTTTAAAATGAAAAAACATTTCAAGATTATTACATCTACTGCTTATTTTTTTACATTTTCATTCAATTGCCATCTTCATATAGTCTAAATCGAAAGGTCAAAAATAATTATTTAATTCTTGTATGTTGATACATATATTATATGTATATATGTATGTATAATATAAAAAAAACTTACAAATTTAATTAATAATTTTGTATACATTGTGTTTGCAAATTGCACCATTATTATTTGAATTTAATTTGTTCCTAGTTTTATTAAATTAGTTTTAAATACAAATTTCCGGCCAAAAATTAAGATTTTTTTTGAAACTGAATATTATCTTGGAAAAGTTTATAATGTATATAAATACATACATACATATACATCTCCCACTTTAATTGTGTAGTTTGTTAATACTTTTGTGAATTTTTATTAACAGTTCCTTTTCATCTGATCAGTCGTTTTATTATAAGAAATTCGCTACTCCTCTTTTTTAAAAATGAAATTTAATCTTTATTGTACGTACTTACATATACACATCCATATACATTTAAATACCTAAACTGTATACATAATACCATATTGTAAAAAATTTTCAATTGTAATACTTTTTATGAAAATCTTAAATTGATGCTTTTAAACTTGGCAATCAAGTAGGTTTCTTTTAAAAGAAAGAAAGAAGTGCCATGGGAAAATTCTAAATCTAAACTGATTAAATGATGGTTTACCATTTTATGCTTGTGCATACACGCATATTAAAAACGATTAACCATATTTATATAATATAATAAGATTTTCTTTTTCCGATGTGTTTTTTGATGCTGTTTTATTATATAGCTTATAGCTTATACTTAATATGTAAAAAAAATTCAAATTTAAATGCCAAACTTTTGTAATAAAAATCTAAATTTTTTGAATTTATCATACACAATATTTTATTATACTGAAATCGTTTTTGATCACTATTACCAAAAACCATATATGCTCGTAAGTTAACAAGTTTACTCGTTCGAAGTTTAAAAAAAAAAAAGAATTTTATTTGCATGTTTTTTTTTTCTACTAGGTGAAAAAATCTCGAAAGACGAAGAAGGACGGCTCTATCTGCCTTTTTCCTCCGACAGTGGGGGAGCGTGACTCCTACCCTAAAAATTCACCTAAATTCTGAACGAATAAAACTGGCCCTACAGACCAACTATTACCTCCGCGATAACTTGGTTTTTCCATGCAGGAATTAAATACCTTCCATAAGGAAATTGGTATTTCGTGTTAAATCGAATGGTCTTGTTCGTTTAAGTCTTTCTGTCATAACGCCATTGTTTAGCAGCTGAGCTGCTTCCATATTTACATGCTCTTCTAGACGAGCCCTATATTTTGTAGCACAACTCCTAATTTCGTCCACAACCAAAGGAATTCTTAAGTCCCTTTCATCCACAACCAAAGGAACTCCTAAGGAAGGTTTGAATTTTGTTAATGTGAGTCTTCTTGGCAAAACCCCACAGCTGAATGCTATATCGCCACATTGGTTTTATGATTTTGCTATAAATTAATATCTTATTAGCAATTGCCAAATTGGACTTACGACCTAGGAGCCAATAATTTTCTCTATATTTATTTTCTAATTCTATGTGTTTCTTCTTGACATGCTCTTTCCACCTTAGCTTGAGTTATGGATCGCTACGTTCATTCCATTTACGTTAATTTTGCTTCATTCAACTTCACCCTCCAATCTCTAGTCCACTGGCTTATTTTGTTAATTGCCTCCTGTAATTTTTTTGTCGAATCGTCAATGTTCGCTCCTACTGCCAATATTGCAGTATCATCAGCAAAAGTGCCTATCGTAGCATTTTCTATTTGTGGCAAATCACTCGTGTAAAGCAGGTACAACGTTGGGCCCAATATAGTGCCTTGAGGCACACCTGCCTTTATTTCTGTTAGCGTGGAGTATTCAGCATCTTGTTTTATTCTAAATAATCTATCAGCTAAGTAAGATTTCAAAATTTCTAAAAAAGACGATGGTAACATTTGCCCTAACTTAAGTATAAGGCCCCTGTGCCACATCTTGTCGAATGCCTGTGCTACGTCTAGAAACATAGAAGAGCATGTTAATCCAAATTTTTATTGTACTTCAATTGAATTACAAAATTAAACTTAAACTTTATTCTACAAATTGACTCTATTTATACTAATCAATTGATTACTTTGCATTTTAAAAGGGCGAGAAATAATTTTGCTAAGTATGCAAAGTAAGTAATAAGAATTTTAAATTAGAATTTACTTAAAAATAAAAGTTTCAAGTTACAATTTTAAATAACAAAAAAATTATGAAATTTGATTTTAAAAGCAATTTTTGTTTCTATGAATTCCTTGAATACGTCATCAATTATTCGCTGAAAAATAGCTGGCGCATTTTTTAGCCCGAATGGGAACATCACGAGCGGAGTCTGAGACAAATTCCGTCGCGGCCACTAAAGTGGTCAAGGTAGCTGACCCAGCAGGAATTAACGAGGCTGGAAGAAGCCATAGTCGAGGAATTAATGAAGGGCTAGGACAACATCATCCTTCAAACTGGATAAGATAATTGTCGACTGTACAGATTCGGAGGCGGCAGAGTGGCTGGCGGTACGAACACCAGTATTGGAGAAATGGGATGAGCCCTCACTAGGAAGAGAGCCGACATCCAGAAACCGCACGTCATCACCATGTTCGTTCCCAGAAGTGCGGGACAGGACTTAAGTAGAACGCTGGCGATTTTTCTGGCTCAAAACAGGTGAATTCATACCCATGTCTGGAAACTCATGGGCCAGCGACAGGACAAGGTGGCAAGGTTTTAAAAATCGGTGTTGACGACGCACCAGTCTTAGCCATCCAGCCGAGCGGTCCCAGTATGCGTTACTGGTTTGGGAAAATCCCCGTTCACGATCTCAGAATAGGACAGGCAGAGGCGGCAGATTTCGTACCGGCGACGGTTGGTCTAGGGAAACTTTTAGACACCGCTTCAAAAGTGGTAAGAAGGATGAGCGATGGGGAAGCACTCTCCGAAGGCTATGAAATACCTAACCCTTCTCAGTCTGAAAAAGCCATCTCAAGAGGAAGATACTGCGATGGCAGGGAGAACCTCTATCATGCTAGAGCGGCATCTGCATCCGTGATGTTTACGAAAAAACGTCTGGGCATAGCTATAGTGCAAGAACCCTATATATATAAAGGACAAATCAAAGGATTGTCAATTAGAGATGTTCGGATAGTATGGGACTATGGGCAAAACCTATCCAGGACCTACATTCCAATAAGAACAAATATTAATTATGTTCAGAGTACATGACATGGGATCTCACACTTGTCAAAGTCTGCATCAATACTGGAAGCGAAGAAATAGAGGTGTACTGGCATCGGCGTACTTTTCGGGAGACGGGACATTTAGCCCACCACCGGAAGTGCAAAAGCTGGTGGAGCTTTGCAACAAAATGAAGTAGCCATTCATCATCGGATGTGACGCAAACGCACATCACGAGGCATGGGGCAGCAGTGATACCAATAATAGAGGTGAGTCCTTGCTGGAATATATAGTTAAAGAAAATATAGAGGTATTCAATGTAGGGAATTCCCCAACTTTTATTACTAGAGTTAGAAAGGAGGTACTCGATCTCGCGTTCGGCAACCCGTGCGCGGAATACACGACTGGAGGGTATCGGAAGAAGTCTCTATGTCGGACCGTAGGATCATCCGATTTAGTTTGGGGGGCTAATAGAGAAGAGGCTCTCCTTCAAAAACCCTAGGAAAACTAATTGGGAGAAATACAGGGAGGAACTAACCGCACCTAATGTGAAAATAGGTTCCCATGTCATGAAGATTGACATGGGACTCTGCGCGGTTGGGATATAGGTGTCCAAGCATACGCTGGTGATATTATTATCATCGCTTGGGGGAAGTTTGAGGAGGTTCTTTCCGGCGTAGTGTAAAGAGGCCTGCGGGTGACACAAGTCTGGTGTGGCGCTGTGGGGCTCAAACTCAATCCTAGCAAGACGCCCCTGGGGCCATTAACTAGGAGAAGAAAGCTGGAGCATCTGCGCACTATACAAGTGTGTGGAGAGAGAGTAGAAAGGAAAACGAAGCTGAAATACCTTGGTGTAGTATTTGACAGCTTTTTGGCTAAGACACGAAGAAGTGGCAAGGGCGAAGGCTACCCGGGCAATCACGGTGTGCACGGCCATTTCGGGTAGAACGTGGGGATGGGCTCCGTCTATCATAAAGTGGACGTACAACATGATGGCGATGTCACTCCGTATATACGGGCGGTTGTTTGGGGCAGAAGGGTTACATTTGAAGCAACAAGAAGGAACAACCTAAAACGTTTGCAGAAACTTGCATGCGACTGCATCACTGTGGCTGCAAAGACATGTCCAACCGCGGCAATGGAGGTGATTTTGGGACTAACCCCACTGCATCTCGTTAAGGAGTTGGCGGCGAAGACGACCATTCTAAGGTAAGGGAGTAATGGGATATCAGTGCTCGGAGGAGGAGATCGGGAACGTCTCACCGACCAGGCTACCTACTCGCATTTCCCAGAGATGATATGGTTGGAAGATACCGCGATGGTTAGAAGATACCGCGAGACGATACCGCGGACAAGAAATATTCATCTTGTCCGAAAGCCAGGCTGCTATCAGAGCTTTGAGCTCTTCCTCAGTATCCTCTGAGGCTTTCTTCAGAAGCTCAAAAAATCGGGGCAAGCACCCCTCTTCTTGGGCCAGAGCCCTTCTGCGGAATCGGACCACATACAATTCGAGAAGAATTAAAGAAGGCAATGCAAAGGCGTTCACTGGGGGTGTCTTCCAGGACTTCTTGATGTCCTCTGGTTTCATTTTTATTTGGTGAAATCCTGATGTCAGGTCTATTGTCGTGAAAAATTTTGAGTTTCCTAGGCTTGCTACAGTGTTGGTGATCTCCGTGATCGGATAGCTGTCTGCTGTGGTTACTGAGTTTAAGTTTTTAAAGTCCACTACCATTCTATACTTCTTGATAACAGAAGCGTTTAGTTTTTTTTCGACTATCCAAATAGATAGGTTGTACGGGCTTTTCGATTATCTAATAATCCAGTCAGCTTGTAATTTTTTTATCTGGTTCTCATATGAAACGGATAGAGATAAATTTTACTGTATATTGGT